TACTTCCAGGTCGTGCATAAACTATATATCGGTGTCATCTTTATTTCTCCCTCTTTCACCCCCGACCAAGACAGAGACCCACCCGCTGTTTGTTTCAGTAAGTTTGCTTCATGCAAAGTTCCTGCATGCAGTGATGTTTATATTCATATTGTCTTCAGAAAGATATGGAAATGTTATTCACTAACGTTTCACACGGTTAACTCACATGCCATAATTAATATCATGACACAATCATGACTAACTCGCATGGTCCTTTATTAAAGCAGCAATTAACTTACATTTTAATCAAATAAAAAGGTACTAATCTTTCTAATTCATTTAAATAATGTTTTCTTCAGTTAAAATAAATAAACAGCTCACAGTTGATCAGTTAAATGTCAATTTTCGCCGATAAAATCAAGTTATGCGCGCTGTAAGGAACACCATTAACCCTTATCATCTTCCGTACACTGGCGGAGGAGGTACTTTTCCCCACTTTTCTCAAAAACTATTGGTCCTAAAGACATCAATAATGGGTATTCCCCCAGAGAATGATCACACAAACTTGCTTGTTTGTCTTTCAATAACGGAGGAGTGGTTGCTGATGTGCGGCGAATAGAGAAAAGTGTACGGAACATGGTTAGTCTACGTTACATAATGGCACACGCGTGCCCTGCTCACTCCAAAGTCCCCACTCAAGGGCTCTGGGCCCGGTTGCATGAAAGTCCTTAAGTAATCTGATTTAGGGGTATCCCCGAGGGGGGGAAAATCCCTGAGGTAAGGGATTTCTTTAGGAGCGTTGCAACAAACGTCTTAACTCTCACCCTTACCTAAGTGTTTATACGAAGCGTTTCACGGTAGTTTCTGGCAACATACGGCAATGGGCGCCGCGGTTACTATATAGTATATATGTATATAATGTATACATATCTATGACAATAAACAGAACATCAGCATACAGCTTTGTGTACAGTCGTTACAGAGGAAACCGCTTTGTTTCTGCAGTGAAAGCGCCTCCTGCTGACCAATGACGGAAAATTGACCTAATGTGAAAATTAACCCATGTTTTGCCGCTGCAAACACGCAGTCGTCGATCACAAGTCAAGATAATGCATTATAAAAATCTAAACAATTAAGATTATATCCATATTGTCATTTAATGTAATAATTGATTAATAACAATCGTTTGAAATGATATCATAATTGCTACAACTCGTCAAATGTATATAAAACGTTTTGCTTTGTGAAAACCTGTAAGTCATGCTTTTCACGGTCATTTTACGGTTTAATATGTTACCGTAGTCGTTGCCCTACTGCGCTCATATGATATCGGATTTGTGCAGGTCTTAAAAAATGTCTTAAGTCTTGCATCTGAGTTTAAAAATCCTGCAGATGCTGAGTTTAAGATGGACTTAAGGGAGCTCTTTTGGTCCCTTAAATGTATTAAGGTGAAACGGTTACTAAGGACTTTGTAGCAACACTTAAGGGAACACTTAAATAATTAAGGGGAATACTTAATGGCAGCCTTAAGGTTCCTTAAGTTGACCCTTAGGTTTTTTTCTTGCAACCCAAGTTACACTAAGGGCTCCCTTAACCTTATAACTAAGGGATTTCTTAGCTTAAGGGCTTTCATGCAACCCTTTAAAGGGAGTAGGGCATAGGATGATCACTTCCATTTGGAATTTGCCCAGTGATTATACACAACATTAAACACAAATCAACAAAAAAAACATCCCTCTCTCTCTCTCACTATATATACACACACACACACACACACACTATATATACACACACACACACATATATATATATATATATATATATATATATATATATGAA